AGTTATTTCTCAAATGATACAGAAAAAAATACCACTAATATAAAGACACTGACGACAATCTTTCTCAGACATAATGATTTGTCCATATTAATCTAAATACACTTTGATTTTCTAATAATTACATTCATAAAATAGTTTCCTCTTACTATTTTGTATGTGAAGAGAAACAAAACAAAACCTTCTTTATAAGTGTTAGCAGGCACACAAATAGCACCGAGATGATAAAAATTATTCAGAAATAACCCCGTAAAATGTTGATTAAACAAACTATGTAGCATGTATTTTACAATTACGTGAAATAGCATGAATAAAAGTGAAGATGGATCAAATGCAAACCTACATGGCATAATATCATACACCTGCATTTTGTAAAATACAGCTTAAGTGGAAGAATAACTAGTTGTTTAACCTCCCAAGACCCGAGCTTTGGTTTGGCTTGCATTTTAGATTTCTTCTAGCTATTTGGGGTTAGGAGGAACCAATAAATATAATAACCAGATATTATCTTTTTGAAAAAAATGATGTCCACATGTGGACACTCGGTCTGTATCCACAGAAAACAATCAAGACACTATTGTATAACAAAGTGCAAATCTCTTTTATTCACAGCCTGAGTACCGTGCCTGAACATTTTTCATTGTTACTGTTGCATATATAACTTTCAACTTCTTCAAATTCTTCCCAAACTACATTTTCAGTTACAGTTTTTTTCTAACCTTTTTAAATTTTCAACGAATAAAAATCAATGTAAAGTTATTTATCACACATGCATTGTCAATTTATACTGTTGTAAACTATTGTAAATGGATGTTTTCTCTCAAATTCTTCCCAAACTACATTTTTTGCTAACATTTTTACATTTTCAACGAATAAAAATCACTTTAATGTAATGTATCACACATGCAATGTTAATTTATACTGTTGTAAACAATTGTAAATTGATGTTTTCTAACAAATTCTTCCCAAACTACGTATTCACATTTACATTTTTTGCTAACATTTTTACATTTTCAACGAAGCTAAGTCTCATTGTCAACGTGGACCTCAAGTTTAGCGGCATAATAAATCTTTACGGTTACAAAAAATTGTCAAATTTGCATGCCATATTAATCATACAGCTTTATTGTATATAATTACTATTATGTATAAGTTAACAAGAATCAACAATGTAATTTTATTAGATTTTTAACCTTGTGTGCGATTTGGTCTGGTGTGCCTGCCTGACTTTTCAGATGTGTTTGCCGCCATCTTGAAATTTCTATGTAATGTGTTTTTCTCTTCTGAAAGTGTCCATGTTTGTGTACAACAGGTTCCAGTTACAAAGAATTTAGTATGGTGCACACAACAAAAAATGTGATGTCCATGTATGTGGATGCCAGGTCGTCGGCGGTAAAAAAAACTAAACAACAGTGAATATGAAAAATAAATCAGCCTCTTTTTCAGCTTATGGTGAAGAACATATTGAACCTGTAAAAACCTTCTACAAATATGCATTAGAAGAACATTTTGAACATAAAATGAAACTAGCAATAAAGCATATTATAAAAGAGTTAGTTCCCTTCCTGGATTCTGATTGGTCAGCAGCTGTTTTATTCAGGATACAGCACGGCTATGACCGCTTCAC